CCCAGGAACCCTGTACCACTTAGGTCAGGCAGAAAGCACTGTTCAACAGGGACAAATTCAACTCCAGGAGAACTTGGTAGAAGGTAAGATATTGTCATCCAAACCTGGTCAGTAGTAATTCCTCTCTCATTTCTGTAGAAGTTGACCATTTGATTTTATACTCCATTCTTTAATTTGTTCATTACTGGTTAATAATACAAACAGAATGCAGGACATTATCAAAAGCTACTCAGCTGTCAAAAGAAAACACACAGAACAACCAAACTTTCAGCAACCTTAATATTGACAGGCTACAGTTGAAATAATAATGATAGAGTTCTTAGGTGCCTCAAACATCTTTGATGCACTGGAGAAGATGGTAACCCTCAGAGACCTGAAGAGCTTTTCTGGTAACAGCTTTCAAAAACTTCCCTTGCCCTTTACATCATGCAACAGTACAGATAAAGACTCTCACATCCAAGTACATCAGCCTCAGCTTTTTTTTTTTTTTTTTTTTTTTTAAAACCAGAACATGTCAGAAAAAAAATTCTAAGCTTTGAAACCACAGAGGTGCCTTACAGAGGCACACGAATTTAGCATTACAGAGTATGTTTCCCAGCTCCCAGGAAAGCTTTGCAGTAGAGAAATAATTTATTTTTATCTATTTTGCATCTTAAATGCTTCTGAGTAGCGCAGAATCCACTATTCCAAACCACTGGGCACACACTGGTGCTTTAGGTTGACTATAATTGCTGCTGGAAGGAAGCTACAAGCACTATCTTTATATGAAAAAAAAAAACAGTTAAATTTTCAATAATAAACTTAAGATCCTTTACCTAAAGTACAGCTTTTCCAATTGTATCCTCAAAAGGAACAAAAATGAATCTATAAGGTCTAGTAAGAATGCTGCAATGTCTGTAATGAAATCAAACACACAGTAAATACAACAAAACTAGAAAAGATAACCTAAGATAAAGCTAAAGACTTCTAGCACTCCTGTGCTGCACTAGTAGCACTTCTCCCCAATGAATATAAATTATTACATAGATGAAAAAGAACCAAATGACAGACTACCATATTTGAAGGATATGCACTTTTTTAATAACTCATAAAATTTGTACCTACAGAAGGAAAAAAGGAGGTAAGAAATCTATTTCCACTCCAGTCCTATTTCTTGTAAGTGTTCCTCTAAACAAACACATCTAGCTACCTAAATGATTTCCTACACCCTACTGAGACAATAAGTACAGCCGCTCATATTCACACTTAAAATTAGATGCAAAATATTCATGTCCTGAGAAAGACAAAACTGATGCAGCAAAAATTAAATTAAATGCTTCTGCTTCTGTCCATACACTCTAAGTCCCTGTAACTAAGTGTTGATTGACCTGCCCATAGTTGGAACATTATTGAGAAGCAAAGAACTTCCCAACTACCGAGTTCAGCTCAACATCTCGGTTTATGACAACTATGCAAACAGCTTGACAAGCACCAACCTAATGACCATAAAGCAGCTATAAAACTGCTATTTTACATGCATGGTAACATTAGGCTTATTCATAGTGAGAAAATGAATTACTAAAATGTCACAATGCTCAACTATTATGTCTCGATATTTAATCATTTGGCCCATTGTGTAACAAAAAGCAAGTAAAACAGATTTTGTCAGAGCTTTCATGATTTGAGCAAATCCAGCTGCTCTATCAGCTCATTAGTAGGGCATGCAGAGGAAACTTGAAGATGTAGGTTCCTGCTGCTTTCCCAACTTGGCATTTTCAAGTAATTAGCATTCTTAGTGCATGTACACACATGCCTACATTGCAAGAG